TCTCATGAAACCTCTGTCAGATTTGTCCTGGGATGCAAATTAATTTTCCTGCCTTCCAGATTTCTTGCAACCACTGCTCTCATTTCATCATCAAAACCTCTACATTAAATTATTGCAAAGGAAGCAGTATCAAGAACACAAATGCATTAATCAACAAAAATAAAAACTGGTATTGACCAAGAAAGTCCTGGCTATAGCAGTTTTCAAAAGTAGTAAAATGGATTATCATGATATAATTGGGAAGCAAAGTTATCTATATCATAGCAAACTGATGTGTAACTTACATTCTATTATACTTGCAAGCTAAACAACATATGGGCTACCTTTTGCTTAACAATTAATAGACATAGACGTGAGTATTCTACTCAATAACATATATCCTACAGGTCATACTCTTGAGGCAGTCCACCATCAGTGGCATAATTACTAGAGAAAAATTCACCCCATTCTTTACTATGTGAAATTGTCAATAAAATCTTGTCATGATAACTATCTGGTGTTTACAACAATTTTTGGTCTGAACAAAATCCAAAATACTAGGGGAGTTGCTATTTGCACAAGCAATTCTTCCAAGTACAACCACCTTAATGGAAGTTCCCTTCTGAAACATAGATCCACTGCAGAACCCATACCCTTCCATATTGAAGCAAATTCAACAGCAATGTACCTAAAAACAAGAGAAAAATATGTCATTTAAAATTCATAAGCATGCCAAGAAAAATCAACACAGCAGATAGATAATATAGACAAACCCTCCCCCAAGTATGACAGCACGCTTAGGTAACTGTTCCAAGCTCAAGGCTTCGTCAAAGGTTATAGCTAACTCCTATAATGCCAACCAAAAAATAACAAAACAAAATAAGTAGTTAGAATTTATAATCCATATCAATTCGCACCACTCTATACGCTAACCACGGTTTTAATTTTAAAATTTATAATCTGATTTCTAAGTCACTTCGCTTTTCTATGTTAACACATATATATTTTAAAAGGTAAATTACAAATACGGGTGCCTTTATTTACACACCTTTTATTTTAAGGTGCATATAGAACTCATTTGACTCGACCTTGAAACTTATGGTCAATATCATAACATTAAACAGAGTCATTTACATTAATGTAAACACCAAAAACAAAACAAACAAAAAAAAACCCACAAAGATGCAACTACAACCACCAAAATGTTACACAAACTTAGCAAACCCGTCATCAACTGGCTTCATCGCCTCCTTTGGGACCCTGATTGGTGCCCCCTTACCCTTGGCAGCCTTCATTGTCATAATTGAATGCCTTAAAAAGTAAAACAGCCTTAGATTAGAACCCAAAATCTACACAGTAATTTATTCCAGCAAACTATTTTTCAGTAACTAAACAGACAGAATCACAGATTTGAAGCTCAAATAACAAACAATCAACAATCAAATTAAACTTCATAAACACAATCATATACATACATATATACACACACACACACACACATATATATATATATATATATGTGCAATTTGTATAGATCAAAAAGAAAGTAGAGAAACGAAACATACCTTGAAGATCGGCGATCTCGCGGTGATAGTGAGGAACAGAACGGAACTCAAGAGGAGAATCAAACAACAGAACAACAATTTCTGAACATCATGAGCGGCAATTTCTGAAGGCACATGCATAAATACCTTCTGAATCACCGATCTGAATCGCTAAGATGACCTTCGATTTCGATTTCAAGATATGAATCACTGAGACCGATGTGAATCGCTGATATCTGAATCACGATCTGAATCGAACTTCGAGTGATATGAACTCAGAATTTTAAAATTTCGAGATATGAACTTCGATTTCAAGATCTGAATCGCTGAGATGAACTTCGAAATCGCTCTGATGAACCACTTCGATTTCGAGAGAGAACTTCGATTTCTGAGGATTCCATTGATAAGCAACTGAATCTGTGATAATCAGGGTTTAGACAGCGGAGAGGGAGAGAGAGATTATTTGTGAGTGCATCGGCTCAATTTGGGAGTTGAGATTCTCAGATTGGAAACGGGCGCGTGAGACAACACGCATTTGAAGGCGTAAATAAACACCTCCTATTCATAAAACGGCACCGTTTCAATTAAAGAAAAATAAGACGTTTATAAAACGCCGTTAAATATTAAAAATAGTGGCGTTTTAAAAAACGCCGTTAAAAAAACGCCACCTAAACCCATATTTCCTGTAGTGAATAGAGAGTAAACACTGATTTATTAATGTTATTTGTTTTGTGCGTTTGTGAATTGCATTAATAAAAAAAAATTTACTAATAAAAAAATAGAAAATAAAATTGGGCATGGCTAGTTCAAGGGTCCAGCTCTTCTTTGGGAGAGGATAGGATCAAGGATGAACTCAGTTGGGAAGTAGGGACGATTGCCTCTTTTGCAATTTCATCAAAAAAAAAAATACTATATTAGTATTAGTTATTAAATTTCTCAAACTATATAGCCTTTCACCCCATGTTTTTTATTTTAAAATTAAGTGATTACTTCCACTAGGTTTTTTTTAAAAAAAAATGAAATGAAATAACAAATTTAAGTGGTCAACTCTTTTAAATCTATGAAACATGTGGATCAAATGAAAATTTTGATAATAGAGGCAATCAAAGTTTTTTTTCCCCTCATTTATTTTTATTATCAAGTCAAAAAGAAGTATCAATAAGAGAGGTGGCACCGACCAAAGACAACAAAATTCAATTTGGGTAGTGGGATTTAGTGTTCAGAAGAGATCTTCATCATGGGAACTTGATTCTTTAAATGATCTGTGTGCATTATTAAGAAGAGTTAGATTGAATCATGGGGCTGACGGTCAAGTTTTTTGGAAAGGAGATAGTCAAGGTACTTTTTCGGTAAAAAACATGTACTCTAATCTCAATGAAGGGGGTGGGGGGGTTCTTACTTGAGGGTTTTGAATGGCATTTATGGAACAATTTTGCTCCTCTCAAAACACAGATTTTTTGTTGGCAAGTTGTGCCAGGTAGAATCCCATCAAAGGCGTTATTGCACCATTAATTGGAGAAATATTCCAAATGGTTGTTGTACGAGCACGAACTATTTGTCGCTTGCATACTTCTCGTGATCAAACTTGAATCTCCTCGAACAATGTCGTATGACCTAAAAACACAACTTTGATGAATTTACCGACAGGTGTGTGTCGGAAAACCCCTCCAATGAGCTTACCGGTAGATGTGTGCCGAAAAATCCCTCCGATGCTTAAATTAGCTCTTAAGATCAATATGGGGAAAAGATAAAGAGTTCTGTTGCATTACCTCCACTTGGTTAACCTCTGAGCTTTTATGTATTCCGTATGGTAAAATCCTAGTAGGACTCTTATTTCTATCCGTAAAGTCCCACTAGGAATCATCTTCTTAAAGGTTAATAACCATCCTTTAACACCCTAATCACCAAAGTCAAGTGACACGGCCTAACTCCCAGGCCAGCAACCGGATCGAGCAATTCATCTGTCCAATTGCACATTATTTACATAGCTACATTGACCAAGTTTACTTCAACTAAGTCAACCGGGCAAAAACTGATAAATTAAGTCGTGCAATGTTTGTCCGGTTGTGCCAATACCAGATTCACTCAACCGATCAAACTTCTTACTACGCCAGCCAAACTCCTCTCTAGGTCGGTCAAAGTTCATTTCAGGCTTAGTCCTTCCATCCACCAACATACCCCATCTCACTCTCTATCCTATTCTTTCAGTAGGTTTGTCTAACGTTGTGTTTAGTTGAAAGATTTGATGAGTGATTTGAAAATAAAAAGGGAAAGCGAAACGTACGTGAAATGTGAATAAAATATATCTACATTTTATCTAATTTCACACAATTTTTTCATTCCAAATCCCTTCCAAAATTCTCAAACCGAGCACAACGCAAATATAATGGGTGCCTCCACTATCCCAATTATGTGCTGAATTGCATGTGAATTTTTTTTTTAAATAAACAATAAAAAAATAGGGTAAATTATGCAAATCGTCCCTATAGTTTACCCGTTTTTTCATTTTGGTCCCCGTTGTTTCAATTTGATCAATTTTGCCCCGTAATTTTATGGATTGTGTCATATTAGTCCAATAAATAACGGCAGTTAATTTTAATGGACGAAAAATTTAATGATGTTTCAATTTGGTCCCTATAGTTTATAGGATGTGTCAATTTGGTCCCTGTAGTTCATGGAAAAGTCCAAACAATAGGGACCAAATTGAAACATCATATGATTATTTGTTCATCAAACTTAACTGCCGTTATTAATTGGACTAATATGACACAATCCGTAAAATTAAGGAGTAAAATTGAGCAAATTGAAACAATAGGAACCAAAATGAAAAAAAAAAGTAAACAACAGGGACTACTGCTATAATTTGCCGAAAAATTAACCCGCAAGGGTAGCCCAGTTGGTTGAGGCCAAGGGACTTGGGGCCTAGGAGTTTGCTCCTCTCTAGGTCTCAGGTTCGAATCCCACTCCCAGCTGTGCTCCTAGCAGGCCACTGGAGGTTTGCCCGGTCGTTAACTTCAGGGCCCCGAAATTAGTCGAGGTGTGCGTAAGCTGGCCCGGACACTCGGTTATCAAAAAAAAAAAAAAAAATTCACACAACCATTTCAAATTTGGACCAATTAATCCAAAATTACAAAATTAATGGTCAAATTTGTTACAAATAAAATTATAAAGATCAAATTGACATAAAGGACAAACTAAATCACCAATGTAATTTGTTTTTGTTCATTTTTCTATGCACAATAAGCTTTTGTGAGAAGCACATATTTATTGTAAAAATAAAAAAATAACAAAAAACATGATGATGAACCTTATCGATTGGACTAATTAGAATCATTGGATTAGAAAACAAATTGCAAAATTAAGATATAAAATTGAGGCAACGGGTAAACTAAACTGCAAAAACAACTACTATTATAATTTGCAAAAAATAAATTAATTAAATAAATGCATTGCATTGCATGGATAAGAAAACAATGTGAAGACTTACACATATATATCAGAATAGCAAGCATCAGGAGGGGAATAAAAGACCATCTGCCAATATTTCTTGGTGAAAAGGAGGAGCCACTTTTGAAGGACGATGGTTTTGTGGCCAATAGATTCAATGCTGTCTTCCCATTTTCGTCACGTTTCCAAGCAAGATCCGGGAAAGAATCCAAGATAGTTATAGCAAGATCTAGTTCACAAAAAATAGGAAGGAAGCTATTCAGAATACTGTAAAATATGTAACAGAGTGTAACGGACCGTTATGGCTATTACGGTACCACCATGGTTATTATGTAATACCGAAACGGTTATTACACATGTGAATTTCCATTACAGTGCTATAGCGTATAACTTTTTTTTTTTAATTTTTCATACAATTTAAAAAAAAAAAAACTTACCGATACCCATATATATATATATATATATAGAATCACATTTATTGAGATTTAAAATAGATTTTGATAAATTTTTGTTAGTTTTAAGTATGTTCCAATATATCTTATATTTTTAAATCACTATAAAAGGAGCTTGTTACATTTTATTTCAATAGTTAATGACTTTAAGAATAATTAATTTTAAATGTCTACAAATTATTTTTGACCAATATTTGAACTAACTGAATAAAAAATATTCACAATTATTAAATGAAATAATTATAAAATAAAAGTTGTGTCATAAATAAAAATTATTTTTTAGGTATTTTTTTAGACAACACTTTATAGTTAACTAAATAAAATTATTTATAATTAAGAATTAAATGAAATGATTATAAAAATAAAAATAAAAATTATGCTATAAACAAAAATTATTTGAGCTA